ATAACTAAATATTCTGCCATTTTTCTTATGCCCACATTTGTTTTTGAATTTTTTAAGTCTTTTAAATATTCAGTATTTATTTTTACCTTTTTAATAAATTTTTTAAGGGCCAAACATATTTTAATTGAAATATTTACAAGCTTTGGGTATTCGTTTCTTACTTCCATATCTATAATTTCACCAACTAACAAATCAATATTAATTGTATTTAAATTTTCCTTTTTGTCTTTTAAAACAAGATTTGTTAGAACAGGCCATTCTGATTCATTTTTCCTTAAAAAACTGGGTCCCTCCCACCAAATTTTATGACTTTTTAACTCTTCACACAAACACCCTCTGGTCGCAAGATCCGAGGGATTATGTTCAGTTGGCACGTATTTCCAATTTATGCTTTTATTTTCTCTTAATTCGGTGATTCTTCTTTTTACAAATTTTGGCAATTTTTCTTCATTTGAATTTAAAATCCATGACAATACGCACGTACTGTCAGACCAAATATAACAATGGATTATTTCTATATCACACTCTTTTCTTATAAATTCTATCATCCTTTTTCCAGCAACAGCACCCATTAATTCCAGGCGGGGTATAGTCATAGGATTTTTCAGCGGGGAGAGACGACTTTTAGCAAAAATGATAGATGTATTAATTTCTCCTTTCTCTTGCTTTACTCTCAAATATGCAACACTTGCAAACCCTTTTGCTGAGGCGTCAACAAACACATGCAGATCAGCTATTTTTTGTTTAAAAATAGCTTGCCTTCGTATAACAAAACTTCCAAAATCGTTTTGTAAGGCTTTCCAATTTTCAATTATTTTTTCATCTATTTTATCGTCCCATCCTAGCTGATTTTTCCACAATTCCTGGACAAATAATTTTCTTTTAAAATTTACGGGAACAATTAGACCTAATGGATCAAAGGTTTTGGCTAATCCTTTTAAAACTTTTCTTTTCGTCCAAATAATTTCGTTTTCTATTTTATTTAATTTTACTATTAAAGCGTCCTTTTTCATATCCCATTCTAACCCTAATATTTTCGTGGGATTTTTCTGTTCCTTATCACCAAATAATTTATTAATCGTATCGGAATTGGCACAAAATTCATGTAGGTCCATTTTAGCGTCTTTAAAAATTTTTATAGCGTTTTTACATTTCTCTATCGCGTCCTTCTCGTTTTCTGCGCCAAAAAATACATTATCGGCGTATGTCCCTCTCTTTAATTCATTTCCAAATTTTCCACCAGATTTTTCTAGATGATGATTTATTACTGCAGCTAAAAGAAAAGGCGCAGCTATTACACCGAAAGGCATTCTAACAAAACGATATTTTATTAAATTGTCTTCAGTTGGTCCAATATTTGGATTTTTTAACCACAAAAATCTTGAGAAATTTCTTTGATTTTCTTTTAAACTTATTTGGTGAAATGCACTCTTAACATCTGAACTAATCATTATTTTTTGATTTCTAAATCTTAATAGGACACCGCAGATATCCGGGAGGAGAACTGGTCCTCTCAAAATAATATTATTTAAACTATGTCCTTCTTTTGTCTTACAGCTAGCGTCGAAGACAATTCTAACCTTTTTCTTTTGCTCGTTCAATACACAATGATGAGGAATGTAGTGGATTATTTCCTTTTCTATTTTATTTTCACATTTTTCGACAATTCCATTTTTTAATTGATCAATAATTAATTTATTATATTCTAAAAGCAAATCTGGATTTTTACTCAATTTATTCCAGACGGACTCTAACCTTTTCTTTGCTACCCATAAATTATTACTAATTTCAATTTTATTTTTTACGGGCCATTCGATTTCGTATCTACCTGTTTTGTCTCTTGTTACCGTTTTTTCGAAATGTTTTTTGGCGAATTCATCATCTTTTTCTGTTGGATTATCGGAAATCCCGAAACCCTCTAATTCCCACCAATTATGAATTTTTTGCTCACTCGTTACTTGACAAATATTAATTAATTCTGTTTTTTCCTCAATTTGTCCTTTTCCAATTATCAGATTCCCTATTTTTGTTTTTAAAATATTAAAACCAGAATTTATTTCATCAAAGTTCATTATTTTTCCCAAATAATCAATTCCTATTAATATATGCGGCTTTACATCATATAACATTTTAGAGTTTAAAAAAGTGTTTTCATTCTTTTGAAGGATCTTATTGTCAATTTTCTTTAAATTTTCTATTAAATCGTCAGTCCCTCTTGCAACAATGTTAATTTTTTCATTATTTTGTGTGTTTAATTCAAATTCAAAGACTGGCGATGTTACGACAATTGATTTATTAAAAAGTCCTTTTCCGCGAAATTTTTTATAAAATAATGGTTTTAAATTTAATTTTTCGGCAAAGGAATTCAAAATAAGGGATATCTCACACCCCGAGTCCAAAAAAATATTTGCTGTTTCACTTTTATTACCATTTATAATTTTTCCTATACCTACCGGTAAAAATGTTTGAGTTATTGTATTTTTATCACATTTTTTAAAATTATTGATTAGAACAAAATTATCATTATTATTATCAAATTTTAGTTTATTATATTTTATTTCTTTATTATCTTCTTCAATTAAATTATTAAACAATATTGGATCTTCTTCCGGCTCATTCTCCACTGTGACGCATATTCTCTTGTCCTTCTGTGAATTATTACTTTTATTCTTGTAATTTTCAAAATTTTTATTATTATCACTGGTGTTATTTGTATTACTTATTTTAACGCAAAAGGCACTATTATGTCCTGCTTTTTTACACAAATAACACAAAATTTGTTTTTTGCAATCTTTGGATCTATGTCCTTTGCCAAAACACTTGAAACAAATATTTAATTGTTTTACTCTTTCAATTCTTTTTTCTTTTGAATTATAGGTGCTACATTTATTTTCCCAGTGTACTTTATCACAAAAAATACATTTATGTGCTGATTTAATTTCACTATATTTCAAGTGTTTTCCCTGATTATTTTGCGTTTCTTTAGTATAGTACATGGCAGTAGCGTGCATTTTATGCCTTTGTTTAATATTTTTATTTCTATAGTCAATATCCTCTTTATTATCAATTTCAAAATCTTTATGAATACGATAAACATCCTCTTCGAGCTTTAAATAATCATCCAGAAATTTTAACATTCTTTTTAAATTCCACCCTATTTCTGTTCGCTTTTTTCTATAAATTTCTGATAATATTCTCTTAGGCATTTTTGACTCAATTTCTAAAATTAGCTGCTCGTGTTCTATATTTTCACCCATGTTTTCTAACTGTTTTATTATTGATTCAATTTTACGTAATGTTTTTCTAATTTCAGGTATGTATTTTCCTGAACGAGGCATTCTTCTTAAAGCTGAATGTAGACTGCACTTTATGCTCTCTTGATCTCCAAAATTCTTTTGCAGCAATTCTAAAACTATTCTATAATTTTTTGCTTCTAGAGGATACTGATCCACGAGCTCTAATGGCTCTCCTTTTAATGCACTTTTTAGATATTGCATTTTTCTTTTTTCTGGAATTACCTGATCTTCGACTGCTGCCTTAAATTCTTCATAGAAAGCATTCCAATTTTTTAATTCGCCACTAAATTCTGGCAGTTTAATTTCCGGTAATTTAACGTTAATATTTTCTGTATTTATTAAAGGGATGGAGCTCATTTTTTCTAGAGTGCGTTTATTTTCAGCTAAAATCTCTAAAATATCTCGACTTTGATCCATTACAACTAAAAACCCATTAGGTCCTGTACCAAAATTTGCATACGCTTCTTTTTCAGCTGCCCTTAGAACAGGTCCTAAACTCCCGAAATAATTGACATAATTCATATTTTGCTTGTCTAATTCCTCCATTGTATTTTTAATTTTTATTTCTAATGACTCAATCTTATTATTTAAATTTTTAATTAATTCTGATTTTTCTAACTCACTTAAATTAACGGCGATTGTAAAATCTGCGCTGGCGGCCTCGGCGTTGATACGAATGAGACGTTCCTTCAAAATTTTGATTCCTTGTTCGATTATATCGCCCATTTTGATTTCGGCGCTGATTAAAGAAGAAACGTTGTCTTATTTGGTAGGGTTGTCTTTGTTGGGAATTATAACGTCTGTCAGATCGGCGAGAATAATTAGGTTGGTGCCACTGACGAGAATAACTTCTACGATTAAAATTACGCCTTTCCGGTATATTTCTGTTTTGTTGTTCAGAAACACGCTCCTGTGGAAGTTCCTGAGGAAGTTCTGGAGGAGGTGGTGGTGGAGGAAGAAAGTATTGATAAGGCACTTGATGCTGAAAGGGGGGAACTTGTATTTGAATAACTACAGGCTGATTTTGTTCCTGTTCTTTTGCTTCTTTAGCTTCTTGTATTTTTCTATCCTTAATACGTTTATTCAGAAGCTGTACACTTTTTTTCACTAATTGCTGAGCAACACCTTTTGTATTTGATGTGTTTTTCGGAAGGGATGAAACTCTTTGAGCCCTCCCGACTTGATCAGTGTTGGACTTCAGCTTTATCTAAATTTAAATTTTTGGGGCACCACTTTGTCGTATCACGACAATTTACAATAATTTTAACTAAACTTACAAATATTTATTCTTTAAAATTATACAATTTATTTGGGTGATTTGCTTTTGGGGGGAAAGATAGTAAAAAGTGAATGTCTTTTGGGAGGATTGAAAAAGTTTAAATAAGGGTAGAACAATTGCATCAGATTTAAAATTATGAAACAAAAGAGAATAAAAATATTTTGAGAAAATTGTTGAATAATAATAAGGGCAAAATATGACAATTCAAGAATTTAGAAAATATTAAAAGAATGGAAAAAAATGAATAAAAATATTTTACAAAAATAAATTTCAAATTAATAATCTTTAAATTATCTTCATATGATTTCCGTCATCTCCAACAATGGGCCTTTAATCATTTCCAATTTTTTTTTGAAAAAAAGGGTAGTGTTAAAAAAGGGGGTAGAGTTAAAAAAGGGTACTTTTCTTGCGAGATTAAAAATTAATCAAAAAATCAAACTTAAATGTAAATTTACAAGGTGCTGGGCATTTAATTGATCAACATACAACAAACAACCATGTTTTCCATCAAATGAGTTTAACACAGAATGAGGGAGCACACACTGAATTTCAACAAAATCCTTCAACTGTGCATCCATTTCATGGAAATGATCGGCAACATAAACAAATACCTCCTCTACAGAATAATGAAACCCCAAATAATTTTGGACATAAACATCCATCGAATTTTGCATTAAATGACCTGGTCCGACATTTAAGTCACCAACACATACCGTACAACACTGTTCACCCTCATATAAATTTATCACAAAATGAGGGAGCACAACTTGGATTACTACCAAATCCGTCAACTTTGCATCCGCATCCTCACACTGTTCAGCAGCAACAATTACTTCCTCAGCAAAATCAAAATATACCAAGAATTTTTGGACATCAACAACCTTCGAACCAATTGAATCACACTCAATTTTATCAGAATCACCAGTCGCAAAATTTAGTGAATCAATCAAATTTAAATATTGAATCATTAGAACTTCATACTATTCCTGGTGATTCTTTCATTACCTTTAATTCAATTAACTGATAATGTTCCTCGGACCATGGAGCCTTTAGGAACAGAAAATTAAGAGCCGATAAGGCCTGACTAGTGTTAAGGAGTGGGTTAGAGAGATGATTAGATGATGTTTTTGAACCTTGTTTTTTGTTTCAAATTCTGAAGTCTAAGAGATAAGCTTAAACCAACTATTGTACCAATATCTTAATTTGGCAGATTAAGAAATAGTGCATACATCCTCTATCAATTACTATATATCTAACAATATTATTTAGATAATGGAAACAAATTTTTAGATCCAAATACCAATCAATTACCATACAATTTTCATGAAGGAATCCATGGTTTCAACCATGCAGGAGAAAATGGAATGCCAGGATCGTCTTCTCAGATGGTATTTTACTTTGAAAAATAAGCTTTTCCATATCAATGACCACCTTAGACAAATATTTATCTCTTTTCTTGTTTAGCCTCATCCTACTCATAAATCAAATTATGGAAGCCTAATCCAACCAGGGCAACATAGTTTCCAACAAGCTAAACAACCTCCTCCACCACAAGACCATTCGCATTCACAAGCAATAGAATCAATCACACCACCATCTTCAAATGATTATACAAGTTCCCATGACGGAGATTCGTCGGATTTTCTGGGCGAATTTGAAGATTATTCCAAACTAAACAGCTTAGGTAATTATCTTTTTTCAAAGTTAATTAGAGTTAAGGGATTCTAGAATAAGAATAATATTTACACTCCATCAAACGCTTAACTTTCGAAATTTTAATAATTAGCCTTCTTCGATTAGTGATAGGCTTAAGATAATTACTCGGGTAATTATTAAAGAAAGCCACGTTTCTATCCGTATTCTAATATTTATATCTATGTATATTGCTCTCATTTTTAAAATTTTAGATGATATTTTTGAAAAAAACGTTTTGACAAGTCAACATCCTTAGAAGCCGTAAGATGCCGGATGTACAAAATATTATTCTTTGTTTGATGAAATTCAGCACTTTTTTGTTATCCGTCCCCATTGTTTATGCCACCGCCCCCTTTTTTCCTTACCCTTTCCTTTTAATTCTTTCATAACTAATTTTTCTATTGGATTACAAAATGGTCAAAGGCAATTAATGAGCAAGCGTTAAAATTCCGACTCGCTAATTTCCAACTCGCATTTTTATTTAAAGTCGACAAATAATTTTGCAAAATCGCAGTTGCAAAAAAATTCAAAACTTCATTTAGGTACCATTTGCCAAGTTTTTATGTTGGCAAAATGCTTTTATCTATAAAAATTGAATTGTGGCTTCACTAGGTGGATGATTGAAAATATTCATTGATCTGAAAACAAATTTAAAAAACAAAAACTATTTTTCCCATTTTTATAAATGCTTATATAATCCTTGCCCTTTTTTGCCTTTGACAAATCCGAAAAAGAAATGAGAAATGAAAACATGAATAGGAAAGAAGGATAAAGGGGCCGGATAACAATAGTGATCCTACTCATATGTACATATTTAACAATTTCATATTTACTATATTTAAATATCTTTTTAAATTATTTATGTAATTGTAAAGGCATTTTTTATGTTTTAAAACATTTTTGCAATCACCTAACTGTATCTAAACATTTAATTTTCCATCTACCATGTAGATAAAGTTTATATAAATTTGTAAAATATTTTGTGATTTTTATTGAATTAATGAGTCATTTAATATTTGTCGAGATTATTTTCAACAGAGATTGGACGGGAAGGTGTGAGGAGAATCAAGGCGATATCTCAAAAAAATCATCTAGACTATGTCTGATCTCTAATTTTATTACTACAGATGAATTTTCCATTATTTGTCAGTATTCCGTTAATGCTGAGGGATCATGAGTGGTTTAGGGAGATATTGGGGGAATTGAAGCGATATACCGTATTTGCTAAAGTAATTACCCAGGGTAATTGTTGTTTCAACATCTCACTCGAGGGTAATTAAAAGGGAGGGGGTAATTATTTGAGCTATTTTCAGAAAGGCTAATTATAACTATTTTAAGAGGGATAATTATTTTTTCGGTACTTTCCTGTTATCTGCCCACATTTTTATTTTCTTTTTTCCCCTTTCTATTTTTTCTTAATCTGTACATAATGGTCAACCTTTCTTCCTTCTTCAATTTCACTCCGTTCCCTTGTGGCTTATTCAAATGCGAGTCAGAGACGAATCCCGTAAAGACTTCACCACAAGAATGACACGTGGGGAAATATAAAAACCAAAATTTTACAACCAGAGCTATTGAAACCTAATACAGGACCGTAAGTTTAACACAAAGTGCTGTGTCTAATCATCATAGAGTAAGGTTCATGACACGACAATTTGGTTCAAAAAAAGTTATTTTTTATTTTTGGTTTTTGTTATTCTTTTATGACTTGCATTTGAATATGCCACAGGGGAACGGAGTGAACTTGAAGAAGGAAGAAAGTTTGACCATTATGTACAGATTAAGAAAAAATAGAAAGGGAAAAAAATAAAATAAAAATGTGGGCAGATAACAGGAAAGTACCATTTTTTCGATCTCTGGTTGTAGGGGGTAATTAATAGGCGGGGGTAATTATTTGAGAGAGGGACATTATTTCAACATTTACGGTATTGGTAAATTGATTGGATACACAACAAATGCCCAAACACAGCACTAATTTTAAAAACATCGCACAACCACCCTTAAAACCACCCCCAACTCTCTTTATATTAAAACGCTCGCATTGGATACACTCGCAAATTTTTTTAAAAAAGCGCGTCTTGACAGGCATGAAGGCGTCTTCACTCCCTCCCTTCCCAATAGCCCTCTCTTCATTTTTATTTTTTAATTCCTTATTAAATAATTAAATGTTAGAATACAATTTTAAATAATTTAACAATTACAAAAATCATAAATGATTAACTCTCCCTTCTTCTAGAAACTTTCATAAAACTTTTCAAAAGCAAATTGTATTATCCAAATTATCCAAAATTCTTTACATTTAAATCACTTTTACATCAATTTTACGTTCTATAAAAATATGTCCAAAGGATATGTTTTAGAGAGACCCTTATTAAAACCTGTCAAAGTCCTTTTTTATCGTCATATAAAATCAAGTCCCAAGAGCATATCAATTCAGTCTTTTGACCTTATTTTGTAGCCAATTCGGCCCAAAAGATAATTTCAATAGCCTGTTTCCAAAATATAAAAACAAAGACTATCGCCGGTTGTCGGCCTGATTAAAAACTTATAGTCCTATTTTTGTCAATATAGCGGCATTTTTAATGTCAAGGAAAGCACTTTATTAAATTAATAACCATCCACATATTATGAAGCATGTAAATATTTATTGGCATTAAAAACGGATAAGGCTAAGGCATTAAAAACGGATAAGGCTAAAAATTAAAATATTCGGGTTGATTCAGCGGATAACACTGTTGTTTCTAGAGCCCTCACAAACAATCCCTTCTTATCTTTTACTTTATTTTCTATACAAAGTTGTTCTTGCTACTCTATTGTTGAAAATTTAAATAATTTTAGACTCAATTACTCCTTAATTCAAATTGTAGTTTATGAAAATTTATTTATAGGAGCGTCTAGCATTGTTTATAGGACATGAGTAAAGTCAAATGATACTCCCAAAAAAATAAACAATGCCTTCCTTATTAAATCACGATGGAAAGGGCAAGTAATGGACTCACTCCCCCTCTCCCAGCCCTCTTTTCATTTTAAATGAATCTATAGGGAAAGGGTAAGAGAGGGCTTCTCAAACTCACTTTATATTTTAATTACTTATATTATTGAAGGAGGAGTGGATTTTACTTTACCGAATCGCGTGGTCTTGAGGAGGTTCAAGTACAGTCTCTCCCACATCTCTTTACATGGTAAAACTATAAAATTTGACCAGCCATTTCGGTGGCCAAACTTCTTTTAAATTTGTTACTTGCTTTAGAATTAGCCCAAAATTTTAAGTCAAAAAGTTAGAATTAAAAAATGCCTTTTTAAAATAAATTCAGTAAAGATTGTATGCTCAATATTCTCAAAAGCTCTTTAAAAAAATTTTTTTAGGTTTAATTGTCAAATTTTTCCAGAGTTCATATCTGAGACAGACGCAGGATCCGGTCTCGCAAAGATATTAAATAAATCCGCATGCAGGACACACAAACAAGATTCTGCCGGTTTCTAATGCTTATATGTATTATTCTTTTGAAAAATTTTTTACCATAATCATATCCTGAAAAGCTTGCCGAATGTCGGCATGCTTAAAAACTGGGAATCCTATTTTTGTCAGTTTAGCGGCGTTTTTAATGTCAAAGAAAGCACTTTATTAGATTAACAACCATCCTTATATTATGGAGCACGTGAATTTTTATTGGCAAAATAACTTTTTATTACATAATTAGGGAGGGCTCTAAAGCTCTAAGCTCTAAATTAGGGAGGGCTCTAAAGCGTTTTCCAACAAAAGTACACTTGAGTCTCAAGTATCCAAATTTTCAGTCTGGGACTCAAACTTTTCAAAATGGTCGAAATGGGCCGAGTGATACCTCAATCGACGCGGAATCGTGTGGAGAGTTTGTATAAAATATTTTTGAGGGTCACTTGAGTCTCAGAAAAAATTTAGCCGGTTAAAGATTTCGGGTTGCTGGAACCGCGAAGCGGCCACGTGGGAATGATTTTGGAGGGTTGGGGATGCCGTAGAGTGATTTAGGGAGGGCTTTAAAGTGATTTCCATCAAAAGTACACTTGAGTCTCAGAAAAAAATCAGCCGTGTCAAAGATTTCGGGTACCTGGGAACCGCGAAGCGGCCAAGTTGGTTTGGCCCAAAGTGTTATGCTCTCTTTTAGAGCATTAAATATGCACCTGAGTGAGGCGAAGCGGCCACGCGGGTTTGCTGGCTGACTTTACCGCCAAGGCTTTTCCATTTAATATAAAGCATACGTAACTCCGATTTATTTGTCCGCCCCGAAGGGGCCTAGAGGCCAGCCCCGGAAGGCAAAGCATCGTAACTAAACCCACCATGGGCGCGAAGCGCCCATTCGGCCGCGGAGCGGACGAAGTTTGGGCCGAAGGCCCTAACGGGCAAGGCTTAGGTTCCGACGCCCATAGATTCAGCTACTCTACTGCCAAGGCTTTTCCATCCTCTGCCAAAGTAAAAAATTAATGTAGAAGTGGTAGTCCCACACCCATAACTAGGGCCGAAGGCCCTAGTTATGGGTGTGGGATTTATCTTTAATAAAATATAAAGCCGCCTAGATAGAAAATTTTTTGGCAAGTCTTTAAAAATTCTAAACGCCGTTGTTAAAGTTACAGCATCTTTGCCCCGAACAAGTAACTGTCTATAAAGATTTTTGATTTCTTATTTTGTAGCCTGTAGGTTGTATGAATTCTAAGGGGAGATAAATTAAACAATTAATTATATAAAAAAGTCACATTGTCTTCCCTCACAATGCCTCCGCACTCAATGCCACTCTCGCCAGACTCCCTCCCCCCCCCCCCCCCAAACAATGCCTCCGCACTCAATGCCACTCTCGCCAGACTCCCTCTCCCCCCCCCCCCCAAACAATGCCTCCGCACTCAATGCCACTCTCGCCAGACTCCCTCTCCCCCCCCCCCCAAACAATGCCTCCGCACTCAATGCCACTCTCGCCAGACTCCCTCTCCCCCCCCCCCAAATTAAACAATTCATTTTGTATGAGAGTGTCGCATTGTCAAATCATTCCCCTAACAATGCCTTCACACTCAATGCCCTTCCTCTGCCATTCGCTTCCCCTCACCTTTCCCGCTCTCACCCTTCTATTTATTCTTTTATTTTTTATTTTATAAATTTTTTTATTAATTTAAATATTTTTATTTAAATAATTCTTTATATAATAAGGGCGCTAAAACTCTAACCCTGTCAAAATAGGCTCTAAGCCCTACCAAATTACTGAAAATAAAGACCGAACCCCAACTCTACTTTTATCTCATCTTGATAAAAATTAAACACTTATAAAGGAAATAATAATTTCTAAATTGTTTGTTATTTTTAGACAATGAAATTGCTTTTACTATTTTTACTGTTATTCGCTTTATATACAAATATTGTGTCAATCTCAATATTTGTCAAAATCTCTTGGAGAGATAATGGGGAGCATGGATTGGATTATCACAAGTATTTGGCCAGTAAAAAAACTGGCCGTTTTCATTTGGCATTAAATAGCCATTATCATCAAAATCCTATTATTCAAGTAACAGATGGTTATGATACTTACCATTTTAACCAAAATGAGTTTCAAAGTCCTGATAATGAGCCTAGCAATTTTAATTTGCAAATTGCTTTTAATGGACACGATGTGAGTTAATTTATTTAAATTTGGAAAAAATTTATGAATCTACATGCCCTTATAAATAATAACGGATTTATGTCGGACGCTCATTTATTTTCGTTATAAGTCTTGAAAAAAATTATGAATTTTGCCCTATGACTAATACAAAACGTTTTTCAACATTAAGAGTTAACGAATGAATAAACTAAAATTATATATGGAGTCTTCAGACTTTTGTTTTATTTAACAATAAAATTAATAACTTATTTTTAAGTTAATTATCGGCGAAATAAACAATATTGAAGATAACTCAATAATCTATATCATCCCCCGTCTCGACAATACAAAATATATAAAAGTAACCAAAGACATAGTAAATGATTATTTTGAACAAATGATAAATTTATTTAAACATCCTGTTCGTATTTTACAATTTATTTGGAACCGACCAATGAAATCAGACAATCCGATAGATGTAAGAATTGGATGTAAAAGTGAAGTAATAAAAAACGAAGCTACCACCCATTCTATTTCCAGTTTGAATACTAAAGTGTACAGAAAAGTAGATGGTATTGATAAGCCATATCAATCAACCTATTATGTTAGAAGCAGAGTTTGTCCGAATGATCAATATTCCGTTATGCTGCTTGGAATTCACATGAATGTAAATATTTTGATCAAAAATATAATTTTTAGTCTGGGAAAGGAATTAGATCACCCTCTATTCTCCGGTAATAGAATAAATACCTTGCTTGTATAAACCTTTTATACTTCGAATATACTATAACTTTGCTAAAAATTTTACAAAATATTTGAAATTTTTAAGCATTTTTATAATTATTAACGTATTTCGCACAAATACTAATTCACTTAATACAAAATGGTGAAGAAATTTGAATTTCGGACATAACCGAAACAAACTTTTACCCAAAACTTAGAGTTATTGACTGAATGAACTAAAATAATTCATTAGACAATGCTAAAAGGTTAACGTTTATAAAAAATAAAAAATGTATTTTTATATATGTTGTAAATTTTATCTTTATATAGGAATGGTTATATTGCGACCATGCAATTCTTTCACCTAACTATGTAAATACATATTATGTTAATTTCTATGATCTGCCAAACAAACCTTATTGCAAATTGAGAGTTTCGGCACTCAAAATAGCAGACAAATTTATTGATAAACTTAGCGATAATGAAAAAGCTGTAGACCAACGAATGAAAGATTTGTTTCCTGATAACATTGGAATTGTAATCCATGGAGGTAATTTTAGTTTGAGTAAATGGGGCGGATTTTAATTATTTTTAATTAACAAAGGTTGGACAGGCAATAAATCAGGGTTTCAAATTTTGAGTTTAAGCAGCGGAAATGTACTAGAGAAAAGTCAACAACGTCAACTTGCTTTAGGAAGGCCTCCCACATATCCTAAAGGTACTCTAAATCTGATTAATTTTAGAATATACATATTATAATATTAAAATAAAGCTAATTTGATGTTACCGTCTGTGTTGGCACATCCACAATCACCCAGCATACCTGTTCCTGGTACAACTTCAACTCCGGATTTTGGCTCTACACAGAAAAAAATTGGTGAACCTTTAATTTACTAGCAAGATAGCCGAAAGCTTTTAATAATTATTCGTTCACTGATATTCTGCATAGTAGCTAACTTTACTTAAGAATGGATTTCATAAAGAACCTAGTTCAAAGATATTTTTGAAAAATCATTAGGCCTTTGGAAAGCGAACAAATTTTAGCATAATCTTTTATTTAACAGACATCGAAAATCTACCTCCGGATGAGTTGCTTCGTAAAAATCGACTTTTCTTTAAAACGTTAAAACAAAATTCAAATATTGGTGATAATTCTAATGGAATAAATATTGCAAATCAACAAATAAATGAGTAAGTAGTATAAAGCATATAGCTATTTAATTCATTAAGCTATGTCCGGATAGCTTAAATAACCACGTTAGTATGATAGAGCTAGGGCAGTTATTACCAAGTGGTTTCCAATGCGTTCATGTGTTTTACATACATACGACTCGGACCATGTTAAAATATAAAATACGATATCGACATCGAATCAAACATCTGTTATATGTACTGTTAAGATCCTCGTCCTTTCCTTCCTTATAATTTTTTATTTCAAACTTCGAAAAAATCCTCTTTTAGTCTACAACAACCACAACCCACTCCAATACTTCCCCAACATTTGCCACATGTACAGAATATTATTGCTCAAAGTTACTTGAATCCTCGAAAGGAAAATAATTCTCAATATCCGAGAAAGCCACCACTTCATGTTATAAAACAAAATCAACCAATACCAAGTAGACTTGGAACTAACCAACAACAGATAATTACTCCAACGGTTGCACAAAATCAGCAACAACATACACAACATGATATAACACCCATTCCTTTCAGTCAAATGGATTCACAAAATCAAAAACAAATGCTTCAACAACATGTCGAAACAAACAATCCTTTCCATCCATCGAGTGACTACAATCAACAAACAAACCGTAGTGATACGGGCATTCCTCCCTCCTCAATTGGTGGAGAAAATCATCAACAAATGCATCAACAGCATCATGTCGGAACAGATCATCCTCTCGGTTTGGCAAATGCACTAAATCAAAAACAAATTCATCAACAAGCTCATGTTGGAACAAACCATCCTTTCCACCTTGAACAACGTAGGTTATTGGAACTTTCCGAATATCTTTTGTCTGGGAAGATGTTCTAAGACAATAGATACCGGTTAACTAAGCCATATATACATATGTAGGAGGCCAGATGAGGATTTTAGGTTTTCCATTAAACCAGGCTATTTCATTAATATTTGGCAATATATCAGACAAGTCTCTGATTCTATTAAGATAATGAGGACGATGCCATTGTTGAGAAACGAATATTGGAAGAATATGAACACATGCCTCAAAACGGTATCAAAAATACTCTAGATCTTGTGCTTAAAACTAATACCTGATTTTAGTTGCAAAGAAAGGGAAAGGTGTTCAACATGGTGGTGATTTTGTAGGGCATCGAGATCAAGGATCGAGTACCCCGAATCTACCTGTAAATTTTTTCTTTATTATCTCATTTCTAATAATTTAAATAATAATTTCTTCATCAATTAATTTAAACGATTATTCAGCCTCACCCTGTCTTTGACTCGGATTTCGTACATGATGATGACCTTGGTGGACTTATGCAAATTTTACATAAACATCAAAAACAATTAAGTATAAAGCTTATTATGCTAGTTCAATAACAAATCCATCTATCCTTTTACCATAAATAAGGGTTATAAAAATCGGTTTAACGAAGGTAGCGATTAAAAGGTTGTCATCAACTACCAGATGGTTTTAGAGATACTCTACAATTCTTCATTATCGAGTTCCAAGTTTTTAAATCTCAACCTCGGATTTCGGCTCAAGACTAGGGTTGGGGCACGGTTTGATCGGGCCGGAGTCCCAACCCTAAGTCAATTCTTAAGCCGTAGTTTTCTGTAGGGTTTGACCCCGAACGCTCGGGGGCGGGTATGTCGGGGTACGGGGTTTTCGAATTGTTTCGGGGCGGGGTTCGGGTCGGGGGAGCAAAATACACTCGGGGTTCGGGTCGGGGTACGGGGGTTTAGGGAAAAAATTTTTAGTGAAAAAAAATATTCAAAAATAAGCCGTTTTGGGTCTATTTTCGTTAATTTATTCACAAATTAATGAGAATAAGGTGGGATTAAATGGAAATAAGAGAAATTGGAGTGATTAATTGGATCTGGAGGTGATTAAGGAGGATTTGGAGGGATTAAAGCGGGTATCTGGGGATATAAGAGGAATTGTAGGGACTAAGGGTAGTTTCAAGAGATATCATTGATTTAAGGGTTATTGAGTGATTAGGGATTTGGAGGATATCAGGGTATCTCTTTCTTTTCTGCACCGCATGCAAAATTTTGAGAATTTTATAAGGCCAAGAAGCCCGATTTTTTAGTTTTTTTGCGCCGCAGGCGAAAATTTTTAAAATTTTTAGGTCAAAAAGCCGTATGTCTTCGTTTTTTAGCGCTGCACACTAAAATTTTTGAAATTTTAGCTAAACAAAAATCTTTACATTGTTTTTTATGGTTGATAATGTTTAAAAATAAGATTTACATTTTAAATTAAAATTAAGCTCTTGATGTTGCAAAAAAAAATCCAAAAAAACGAGTCCAGCTTATTTGGATCCGAACCCAATCCTATTTTAACGGAAATATAGGCTAAAACCAACAACTAAGCCACTCAACCACAAGTCTCTTTACAGATCAGGAAAAAGAATTTTGATATTTCTTTTATTTTTCTTTCAAAAATAATAAAGCAAAGTAAATTGGGAGTAAATTTTTAAAATTTTTCTCTTAAAATTCTCCCAAAAATGGCATTTTTTGGGTATATAAAACCCCGATAACCCCGAAACTTTTCGGGTCGGGGTACGGGGTTTTCACTTTTTTTCGGGGCGGGGTTCGGGTCGGGGAGAATCGTGAAAAAATCGTTCGGGAACGGGGTCGGGGTTCGGGGTACGGGGTCGGGGTCAAACCCTAGTTTTCTGGAACCGAAATATCACTTGAAACTAGGAGGCCTTGTTGAAATTTGATCTCGTTACCCTCCACGATATTTTTATTACAGCAAGTACATATTTAGCTAATTAATTCATAAATCAACGATAAAATAAATTAATATCTACATATCTAGATAAACGCAAAAACGTTGATCAAAACCAAGAACACATGCAACAAATTCAGCACAATAGTGTTTATGTGGGAGGAGAACAAAGTGATCAAAGATTTTTACAAAATAATTATGTGGATCTGGAACAATATGAGAGCAATATAGGAAATAATCCAGAAATACATCATCCCCATATGGTGAATTTAACAAGTCCTTCCAACTCTCAACAAGAACAACATTCATCGGAACCAACATTATCTCCACAAACACCAATCAAAAACCCTATACAATTAAATCGAGATCGTTTATTTAAATCACCTTTGAGTAATGTCTCTACTCCTTTGGAAGGACCTGCTGTTGATTCGTTAGCTTTATCTGAAAATGACCCGAGAATGACTTTGAGTGAGAATTTATATTTATGGTCGCGTGAAAATTATAATTTACAAGGTGCTGGTCATTTAATGGATCATCTTACACCGAACAGCCATGTTCAACCTCAAATGAGTTTTCCACAAAATGAAGGTGCACAGCTTGGATTTCACCCGAATCCGTCAACTTTACACCCATTTACTGGAAATGTTCAGCAACAGCAAATGGCTCATCCACAAAATCAAGAATCGTCAGGAATTTTTGGACATCCGCAACCATCAAATTTTGAATTAAATGATCATCACAATTCATTTTATCAAAATCAACAGTCTCGAAATTTAGTGAATCCATCACATTTAAATACTGAATCATTAAATCTTCATAACACGCCTGGTGATTTTTTAAAATATTTACCCCTCTAAGTGATAAACAGAGGACGACAAGTGTTCCTCAATCATGGACCACCAGAAACAGCATTTCCGGAACCGAGAATGTTGAATTTATAGAAAGGACTAGAGCTATTTAGAAGTTACAAATTAAATTTTATAAAATTATTCTATTCACATTTTGGAGATTTAAATTCTGAAGGGCTTAAGCTCTAAGAAGGGCTTAAGCTCTAAGAAGGGCTTAAGCTCTAAGAAGGGCTTAAGCTCTAAGAAGGACTTAAGCTCTAAGAAGGGCTTAAGCTCTAAGAAGGACTTAAGCTCTAAGAAGGGCTTAAGCTCTAAGAAGGGCTTAAGCTCTAAGAAGGGCTTAAGCTCTAAGAAGGGCTTAAGCTCTAAGAAAGGCTTAAGCTCTAACCCAAATCTAAATTTGGCAGATTAATAGTTATGCTTAATAACAAAGGAAATCGACTAATTTAATTAAATCCTTTATTAAATATCTAAAAAAATATTCAAAAATGTAAAAAAATTTCTAGAGGCATATACAAGCCCATTACCGTACAATTTTCATCAAGGAACCCATGGTTTTAACAATGATACACGAGAACATGGAATGGCAGGACCGTCCTCTCAGATGGTATTTTACTTTGGGAAATATAAGTTTTCCACCTAAATCTTTAGAATTTCGTTAGAATACACTTTTCTTTGAGAATCTGTTACCAAGGGTCCTGTATTTTTGTCTTTTGCTTAGGGTGACAATATACTATTCAGGTCTATCTGGATTAAGTAGTTTAAATTGTTCTAAAAATATCTCCATCTGGAGAATGTTTGGACATATTATATACCCTAAAAAATATGTCCTAAGAACTCTCTTAATGAATTTCACTCAAAGATTCTCTTCGAGATATTACGCTATTCAAAAAATAAATTTTAACAAATTTTTGCTCATTTCTTGTTTAGCCTCATCCTACCCACAATCCAAATTATGGAAGCCTAATCCAACCAGGACAACATAGTTTCCAACAATCTATGCAGCCTCCTCCACCACAACATTATACGCATTCACAGGGAATAGGATCAAGCTCAACACGATCTTCAGTTGATGAACACACGAGTTCTCATAACGAAGATTCGTCTGATCTTCTTGGTCATTTTGAAGATTATTCCAAACAAAGCAGCTTAGGTAATGACTTTTTTCAAAATTATTTAGAGATCTTATTTAAAGGGTTAACGGATTCTAGATTAATTCTCGTAAAATTATCTCTCGATATCAGAGTTTTTGATCAAATAATTGCTCTCCTTCTATATTTACCCCTTCTGGTTAAAGGTTGAAAAAATAATTACCCTCTCAAATGCTCCTCTCCTTCGGATTTTCCTTCTTTAATTATTTATCCCCTTTAGCGCGGTGTTGAAACTATAATTCACCAAGGTTATTATTCGAGAATATACGGTATGTGAATGATAAAACAAAAATAAGTAAATAACTCCAGATCCAGTTAGATAGTGGAATTCCACCTCGATCTTTTCTCTTATATTAAAACCGTATTTTCTGATTTTTTAAAATTCTAGATGATATTTTTGAAAAAAATGTTGTAACAAGTCAGCATCCTTAAAGTAGAAATTTGCGCGGTTGTACAGATATATATACATATGTTTATGTTTTTTTAAATGGTTTATGTTTGATATTTTACTAATACATTGTGGCAAGAAACACCACATGAGATTTCCACGATTTTTCATATTTACATAACAGTTTGTTACCGTAAACAATAGTTATTTAACACATAAATTTTAAAAAATTTGAAACTAGGTGCGAAATAACGTGAAATTTATTTTATGAGAAATTATAAAATCATAATTATAAATTATTAGAAATTACAAATTATAAAACAGATCAGAAATTATAAGCCCGCCCCGGTTTCGACATTTTTTGTCACACTGTATTTAACAATTTAAAAAAAAATTTTTTTTACATTTTTATTACTTTGTAACTTTTTTGCGTAATTTGTGAGTAATTTTTTAAAGTTTTGGATAATTTTTAAATTCACTTTTAATTGTATTTTACATTAAATTACCTACTATGTAGAATAAAGTTTGTAAAATTGAAGAAAATTTTTGTAATTTATATTTATCATGTCAGTGAGTCACTTTCCATTTTTATCATGCTTGTTTTAAAATTAGATATGGACGAGAGGAACCGATGAGAATCATGCACGTTTATGGAAAAATCTTTATTTACATTTGATTTGATCTCTAATTTTTTTCCGGTATTTCCCGATATTTATCGTTATTACTAGGGCTCGGATTTATATTTAAATAAATCACTGAAGCGGCCCTGCCCGCGAACTGACCACTGTCTCTCCAATTTTTTATCACATCTATCACTGGTCATTTCTGTCTCTCTTCTATTCGAACTAAACAGTCAGACACTGGTCAGTCAAGGCTTTTTCATGACCAAGGTCGTTTTTGTGCCCTATTTAAATATAAATCCGAGCCCTAGTTATTACCGACCTAATGCTGTAAACAATATTGTCTGTGCAAACTCAGTTTAGTTACCCTTTTACTGATAATTAGAAATAATTTTATTGTATAAAATTTTATTTTTAGAAGTGACTAGCTCTCCAATTACAATATTAAACCCTTTTGAATCCCAATGGTAAGGGCGAGAACGATCCTCTCAGCTACCTATAGTCAGAATTGTGGTTGTTGACGAAGAATGTTGATGAGACGCTTGCGCAAAACAACGTTCTTCCGCAGCATTTTGCGCCACGCGTCTCCGATAGTAAACAGTCGCTTAGTTTTGTCCCGGTAACAAAGGGCTATTGTTAGCTTGCGAATAAACGGGGTGATCATTAAAGATGTTTTGAAGCCTCTTTACCGAGGCCAGTTTTGACTAGGGACTTGATTTTCAGCAGGATTCATCCCTTGCTCAAATGCTAAAGAAGTGCTGGTCGCTTTTTAAATTTTGCAGGCCCACTTTTAGTTTTATTTTCTTAAATCATAAATCTTTTTATTTTACGAAAGTAGTTTGGCTTAAGATACGTCGAAAAACAATCAGCATAAGTATTACTGCTTTTTGTCAAAACTTGGATTAAATTAATTTAATCCAAGTTATTTTTATAATAATTTTTTAAAAATTTAAATTATTTTTTAAAATTTATTCTAAAAATAAAAAGCTGCTTATTATTGCTCGATAAAGGAATGCACGTAGTATCATATTTTAAAAATAGAATCCACGGTATTATGAGTATGTATATTTTCAAAAGTAATGGCAATCCGCTGCAACTGTTCAAAGGCAACAATAAAAACGCCTTGCAAACATGCTTGGCAAGCAATGCCTCTCAAACAGTGCTTGGGAATCAATGCCTCGTGCTGCCTTCATATTAGAATCGCGTGAATCTTACTGCTGACAAACAGTGTGGAGAAGAAGTCGCGCGCGGTTTTTCTTTCCTTTTTTACCTCCGCAAACGCGCGCGATTTTACTTTGCCAATCTTATGATTAGCTAGTCTATTCTTTCCTTCCTTTCTCCTTCTTCATTTATAAAGTCGTTCAATAATCTGTTGATTATTTTAAATTTTACTTGGTGTTTTAATTTAAATTAAAAAATTTAAACTAATTTATTTATGTTTTTTTGAATTTCCAAGAGTGATTTTGAATGTTGTTAACCCGTTTTCATTCTATAATGTTAACCTTGATTTTTCTAGCTAATTCTCTAATCGTTTCTTTTGTCAAATAAAGCTGTTTATATGCTGATTTTCCGTTGCGGCAGCTTAAAAACAGCTATATAACAGCTTATATGCAAATATAAGCTTTGAGAACTTCGTCCTAACGTGCTCACTTTCAATTACGCAATTCTTGGCATGCTTTTGCTTCCCCACATTTAAGAAATAAATAAATAGAAATATATTTTATATACTAGTTCCAGTACGGGACCTGTAGGGGCCCAACGGTATTTAATGTCCCAATTTTATTAGGTTGACCTAAAAAGAATGAGCCCTTTATGGATAATGCAAATAATTTACTATAACAAAAAAACAAGAAACAATTAAGAAACGTGTATTGCCAATTATTATCTATTACATCTTGCCATTTTCTGGGCAGCTTTTGAATTCCTCTTTGATAAAAAGTTGTAGCTGATTTTGCCTCTAGAAAATCAGTTACCCAATTTTTGATTTGCCTACCATTTTGGAACCGAACTTCACGTAAATGATTTTTCATAGACCGGAATAAGTGATAATCAGATGGCGCAATGTCCGGTGAGTAAGGCGTGTGTGGTAGAATTTCCCATCCGAGTGTTTCAGTAATGTGGGCATGAGTTGCATTTGCACGGTATGGAGACGCGCAATGTCCTGCTGGAAAATAACCTGGCTTTGACGTCGTCCCTGAACTGTGAAACCATCAATGGCAATTTGAACGAGGTCCAGGATTGTACGATAGAGATCTTTATTAAGTCCAGTACCCCTAGAAATTAATTTCCAGTGTACAATCAAGGGGCTCATTCTTCTTAAAGGGCTAATTCTTTTTGGGTCAACCCATTATTACAAGACAGGTTCCCCTGTTGAGTTAAATTTATTTAGGAAAAATTTTTCAACTCCGTTATTTTTAAATATTTTAAAATTTATTCTAAAAATTAAAAGTGAGGATTCTTATTACTGCTCGATAAAGTAATGCGCATATAGTATCATAATTTAAAAATTGAATATACTGTGTTATATTTTCAAAAGTATTGGCAATTCTTATCTTCTGTGCCGATTCTTGAAGGAGTAATCTTTCATAACAACTCTTATTCAAGGATTTATTTTAGAATATTTCTTAAGAATATTTTTTCTTTTCTTTCTTTTCCGCAGCATTTGTTAAAAGGTTGCATTAAAATGCCTCGCAAACACTGCTTGGCAAACAATGCCTCGTGCTACCTTCATATTAAAAGCGCGTGAATCTTACTGCAGACAAAGAGAGAGAATTTTGAGAAAGAGAGAGAGGAAAGAGAGGGGAAAGAGAGAGAGGAAAGAGAGAGAGGAAGAGAGAAAGGAAAGAGAGGAAAGAGAGAGAGAAAAGAGAAAGGAAAGAGAGAGAGAGGAAAGAGAGAGGAAAGAGAGAGGAAAGTGAGAGGGAAGAGAGGAAAGTGAGAGGAAAGAGAGGTAGGAAAGAGAGAGAGGAAAGAGAGAGGGAGAGAGAGTGGATAAGAAGTCGCGCTCGGTTTTTCTTTCCTTTTTTACCTCCGCAATCGCGCGCGATTTTACTTTGCCAATAATCCCTTATGATTAGCTAGTCTATTCTTTCCTTCCTTTCTCCTTCTTCATTTATAAAAAATCGCTCAATAATCTGTTGATTTTTTTTAAATTTTACTTGATGTTTTATTTAAATTAAAAAATTTAAACTAATTAATTTATGTTTTTTTTGAATTTCCAAGGGTGATTTTGAATGTTGTTAACCCGCTTCCATTATATAATGTTAATCTTGACTTTCCTATCTCCCATTAAGCTATTAACTTCCATATAGCATTTAAATTCCTAAAACTTTACAGAAGGCGGCATGACGTGTTTGATGACATGTCCTGTAAACAAATATTCTAGTTCCTTCCTTATTGCTTAATAAGCGTCTGCATTATCTTAAAGAGCTATATTGCCTAGATAAGCTGTATTGCATATAACAGGGGTTTTATTTTTGGAAATTTACTAGGATATACTTTCATATTTTTAACAAAACTCTACATCAATTTCTAAATTTAAGTGAATGTGGTTATTTTTACTACTGTTCTCTTTTATTACCTCCTATCACAAAAATGTAACACCTTTGTCTGTATTCGTAAAGGTTTCTTAGCGAGATAACGGTGAAAATAGTTTGAATTATCATCGCCTTCTGGCAGAAAAGTTCAATTTACTAGTGACTAACAACACTTCGAAGATTGCGATTGTTGCTGAAATATCACTTTCTACACGCTGAAAATGAAGATGGAAGTTTTACTAATAACTATAAACTTCATATCTCAAACGACAAATTTCGTATAAGTTCTTATTATCTACATTTAGAAGCACTCCACTGCCTTTTCGGCTTATAATCTTTACCTTTCAAAAACTTATCAAGATTACCACAATTACTACACTTCTTTTTATTGTACAGCCATAGCTTTTGTTAGCCATTTGTTTTGTCCCTTTCACAATTTTCACTATACTTTAACTTTTGCAATGTTTTCCTTGGACTTACGCACTTCTTTTACTTCACTTACCTTCTTTTTTACAATGTACAATCCTCAATTTTTTGCAAAAATGGCTCTACATTCTTTAATCACTTGCTTCAGCATCGCTGAATCGCCTATCTTCCTTTTACATTCAATACACTTCATTGCCAATTTCAAACATTGTCCTCTTTATTTTTTTATTTCATTAAGAGTTTACATAATAGTAAATTTTTCCTCCTCTCTTTTCCCATGTGTTAGCCTTTGGCATATTCAAACAGTCAAACAATATACAATTTTATTAAGTTCGTTCACAAGGATTGAAAAGTGATTCATGATACCAAAAATTATAGAATACATTTGAAATATCATCAAAACGCTTCCGCCAAAGAAATTCAGGAAAATATGTGTATTATAGGCTACATTTATTTCCGGCTTGACGTTATTTTTTTCCGGCTTACGTTTATAAGTGGAACACAAGGACTCAATATTTTGAGTATGGACATTCTTATTTTCTGGATTAAAATTATTGTTTGAATGTTTTCAGTGTAACAAGAGTACTTTTGAGGAAATTTGGGAATAGATTTGGATGCCTTCCAAAGATCGGTATATATTATCGACTCTGACGGAATAATTTTTGAACCATTGGAATCAAATTTTCGGTTGATTTTTGTCCTTAAATAACTTCTAAAAAACATTTTTCACCACCAGATCACCGTTCCACACTTCCAAACAGCCAGACCTCCTTCTTACTTGGTCTCTTCCCCTGTTATATTACCTTCTTACAACAACAGTTTCGTCTACTGCTATTACAACACCTTAATTAGCAGTTAATATTGGTCAATCACAGAAACCCTGACTTCTCCTCCAATTGTAATGGGATTCCTAATATAAAACTCGGCTCACACATCACTGAAGAAATTCAACCAATACGGAATTGTACTTTGACTAATTTAAGTGACGAATTGCAAATTATTATATTTACCTAATCATCGAACCCATAAATACGAAAGATAAAAGAATTGTTTTGGTTGTTAGATGAGTTCCATCGAATAAAACCGGATAAGTAGCCTTGTTCAGTCATGCAATTTCCATTAGTGCAGCGCCAACATCCGTATTGACGATATTTTTTAACTTAATAATTGTTCGACCTTCACATTTAGGCAGGTGCGTTTTCCATGAAGAAGTCCAACTCTTCTAGCCAAAATCGTTGTAGTTTAAACGTAGTTTTTCATGTAGATGCGAATTTTTAAAATTTTTAAGTGTTCCATATTTTAATGAAAGTAATGTTTTTACACTGAAATTCATAATGTTATGCGTCTAGTCAATGTTTTTATTCTTTTTATGGCATGATTTCCGAAGCAAAAAATACATGTCATAGGCCACCAGTACTATCTACTTTTACTAAAGTAGGAAGACTTCCAAATCTTCTAGGACCGATTCCTTAAGCAGATATTATTTTTTGATAATTAGCCTCACTGCGAAATTTATTTAGTTCAATTAAAAATTTTTTGAATTTTTCTCACTCTCTCTCTTCCGAGGCATTCTCAAAAGGAGAGGGTATTTTTCGAAAGGAGCTCCGAAAAGTAAGAGGCCTCCTGCATGGAGAGACTCTCTCCCTTTCCCGGCATAATGCATCATGCTACGTTGACTAAAAATTGCGTGACACTTGTAACGGGAAAATAAAAAAAGGAAGTCACACATTATAATGCTTTCTTATTGCCCAATCATTTAATTATATTGCCGTTGATTCCTTCTCATTAATCATTTATAAGATGCCACTCAATAATTCGTTATTTTTTATAGTTATTTAAAATTTTATTTTAATTAAACATTTTTAAATAAATATTTTGTGAATTTTTATATTGTAATGGAAGATTTTGAAGGTCTTTCAACCGTTTTAATTCTATAATATTCATCTCTACATTAATGACACTCATTCATATGTAGTATTTTAAGGCAAACTTTTAATTTCCTATTTAATTCCTAAGACTGCAGGAGGCGGCGTGGGGAACAGATCTACTCACTCAGTTTATCTTATTGTATATTTGTATACTGATTTTATGACCTCACGATCTATCATATAATTTCATTTAACAAATACTAATATTTCTGAATTTAAGTGAATGTGGTTATTTTTACTACTATTCTCTTTTATCACCTCCTTTTACAAAAATGTAACACCTTTGTCTGTATTCGTAAAGGTTTCTTGGCGAGATAATGGTGAAAATGGTTTGGATTATTATCTCCGTTTGACCGAACGTCAGTCAGGACGATTCAATTTACAATTGACTAGCAACACTTCGGGGTTTACAATGGATGCTGTGACAGATGCATATGACATCTATCACTTTATACAACCCGAAAACGAAGGCGAATTGTTAAGTGACAACTTTAAACTTGCTATCTCAAATGACGGACTTAGTGTGGGTTTTCACTTTATTTATGAATACGAATTCAGCCTACAAGGCATCAGTCCTAGTGTTCCTTTCTGAATTGAAGACGATAACTTTTATTCCGTTCATTTTTATCTATTAATTTTTTACATTTCTTCAAAAAAGTGAACTCTATCACCCTGAGTAAGGTACTAATGTACAATGCCGGACCATTGTTGTAAAAACCAAGTATATCGTCATAGATCGCCACGATCCATTAACTTTGATCATTATGTAATTTTCTGGAGAAAGGGAAAATGAAAGAAGAAAAATCAAGGGGCGGGGGATTATTCAAGAGTACATTTTATTTTAAAGTTAAATTTCGGCGCTATAAATGAAATTGAGAACAATTCAATAATCTATGTAATTGTTCGAAGTAATAGCAAAACAAAATTTATTAAAGTAACAAAACAAGAAGCCCCAGTTAATTTCGATTTGTATATCGAATTATTTAAACATCCTGTTCGTGTTATGCAATTTAATTGGAAAAATCGAAAGGTTTCGGATAAAAAGAAAAATGTTATGATCCGTTGTAAGGATGATGTTGAATCAAATTTTGTTGTGATGTTAAAGAAAATTCTGAATGGTGATGAACAGAAGGAAGAATATCAATCACAATATGTCAGAAGTAAAGTATGCCCAAATGATGAATATTTGTTAATGGTATTTGAAGACGGCATTCAGGTATAAAAATTAGAGTGGGATAAACTATCCACTTAATAGATACAACACGATTAAATAAAAGTTTGTGCTAGGGGAACTTTGAACTTAAAGACGGGTACCGCGAGCACAACGTAATAAAGAGCTAGAACTTTGTTCAATACTGTCGAATCCGTATGTCCTGGTATGGTTCTTTACAACTCGGCAAATTGCCTCGAACCATATTGACACGTCCTAGATTCGACAATTTCTATAGCTCTGCGGTATATTGGCCTGCTTTACATAGAGAGATACAAAATTCCCCCTCCCCCCCCCCCCCCCCCAGTGGAGATGGTGCTATTTTAAACACCCCAACCTATTTACAATAAACCTCAATATTAGTTACGGTACTTTCAGACCTAAGGTTTGTTCTGCTCTTCGATATTAGTTAGGGACACTAAGACTACCCTAGAGTTTGATTTAAAAATATCGCAAACCGCCAAAACGGAATGCCAAATCCTTAAAATGAATACTAAGACAAAATCTCTCATTTAATTCATACTTTTACACCAATATTGAATTTATTCAAAAAAACATTTGTAGCAAGAGGTAAAATGTGAGCCCGCAATTCATTCAAATTACGAATTAAATTTTTATGAGATTGTTTTTAACGATCAAACAAAGAAATTTGAATGTAAATTAATTGAAAATGAACGTAGTGTCATAGAAAATTATTTTAATATGATTGACAATGCTCAATTATATGTAAATTATAATATGGGCCAATATTTTGCTGAACAAAATGCAATTGAAGTTGTTGAGGGTAATTAACTTTTATAAGATGGAATCTAGAGACAGTACTAGGAGTGTCTTACGAGATAGAGATATCGAAAAACTACCGATCTCGATAACCGAGATTATCGATTCGAGCTCTCAAGTCGGTCCGATCTCTAATGAAATCTCGATATAACAAACTCTAAAGAGCCGATATTATTCGAGATAGGGATGTTCTTTATCAGTTAAAGCATTATTTGCTAGACCAGAACCTTGATATATAGGGCCCGGATTGAAGTAAATACTAAGCTCTTTTGACAAAAACATTTACATATAGATCATCAACAACAACCACATCAAATTTCACGGCCTATGCAACCAGATCTAGGTATAACTCTTGGCAGAGGAAGTCCTCAAGGTGGTCAAAAACGGAAAGGGAGAGTAACTAAACAACCAAAATTACCTAAGTTTAAAAATGCCAAGACCCAGCATCAAACCGCTATACACCAACAACACACTGTACATCAACTACAACCATCCATACCTCAAGCGCACGCCGAAATACCTCAGCAACACCTCCCAATACCTCAACAACACTCTGATATAACTCAACTACCTCCCGCTATTCCTCAGGAACACCCTGCCATTCCTCAGCAACAACATGCTTTACCTCAACAACAACATGCTTTACCTCAACAACAAGCCAATATATCTCAACAGCAACTTTTTCTTATATCATTTGATCATCAAAAAGGACAAAACGAGTTGAGACAACGAATGACAGAATTTATACAACAAATACCTCGAAAGTTCCATCGGGCAATGACTCGATATATGGAAGAGCTTCTTACGTATTTACCAAATCCACAAACGCAACATCCAACCCTGACAACGCTTGAAGGTATTCAACATGTCATGTCAGGTAGGAATTTAATAATTCCGACTTTATAAAAATTAATTCCGATTTTTAACAGGTCCTCCACTGACAGAACAGGCAAGATTAACACTAGAGTTCTTGGGTAAAGTAAATACAGCTGAGTTTAATGAACAGAATAGCTTGTATGGAAATGTTGAAGAACTTTTGGATGTTCCTTCGAATGAGCCAGTTAAAAAGAAATTATCTAAAGCATACCTAACTAAAAATTATGAATATCTTACAAAATCTCATTTAAGAAGACTACTAAAAGATTATCTTTTAGCGCGTCTTGATGAGTATCAAGGGAATATAGAGCGAGTTTGGTGAGTTTTTCATCTTCTTGTGACTCGATTTAATTGAAATCAAAACTTGTTCCCATTTCGAAAATCATTTTAAATTAAGTGGAGATGCAGAACAAGAATATTATCGTAATAGTCGACTACCTCAACATTATCACCCATTTTTCCCTCAAAATGTTAGACCACAAACTGGAATTCGTCGCCAGGGACGTTCGCAAGCTCAACGTCGCCAGGGACGTTCGCAGGCTCAACGTGCCCAACAGCTTCTTCCTAGTCATCAACAACCTTTTCAACAACCAGGAATGATGGTACAACCTCATCTACCCATTGGGGCACAAACAGGAATTCGGCTACAGGAACCTCCTCAAGGTCAACCATCTTCTCAACACCATCTTGCTGGTCAGCGACAACAACCTTTTCAACAATCAGGACCTATTGGGGCATTTAATCCCAATCCTTCAGTTCTAGGTATTGAGAACAGTAACATAATTTAAGGTCAACTTGAAAATATTTTAGATAGAGCAAAATTACCAACAATCCAGGAAACCAAAGAGGGTGGATCTACTGATAGTGATCAACAATTAAACATTGAGGTAATTATACCATAGACATTTATTTACACTCATTTTTGGGCGGTACGTGACAGTAACTGTTGTCATCTGTTAGATTTTTGTATTAATTTTATAGAAAAATTATTTCCAAAATTTTTAATATAAATCTAAAAATGCAGGATTACTTGAAAGCTGATGCTGTTTCTGATGAAGGGTTTAATATCTTATTGAGAAGCGGAGCACTTAGACAATTAGGCACGTTTTTATTCCTTAATATGATGCAGCCTGTTAATTAATCTCAATACGGGAAAGATCCATGTAGATATAGATGTTTCCTAATTATTAAATTTTGGACCGAGGACTGAGGGACCAATGTGTCAATTCTAATAGTATTTACAGTTAAAATATAAGTAACTAGAATAAAATCACAATAGCACGTTTCCTTGTTACCCCAGGATAAGTAATTAATCTAGGCGGCGGTAATTTCATAAATAACTATTACAGAAGATGTTAGACCAGGCCAACAACCGGAAGCAGGAGAATCATCAACAAATCCGCAGCTTGGATTTAATTGTAAGTGGCAATGTGACCTAAAAATATTTAAATGCTGGTTCCTAAAAAATTTTGGAAATTTTTTAAAAAATTTTTGGGGTTCTGGTTTAAATTTTTCTTTGAAAATGTTTAGATCCAGCACCACTCCAGTCATTTGCTCATCCTTTTATCGACCCTCACCATGGCCTGACACAACACTTTCAACCTCAACCAGGAGTTCCACACCAGTCATTTGCTCATCCTTTCATCGACCCTCACCATGTCCCAACTCAACATTCTCACCCTCAACCAGGAGTACCAACGAATACAGAACAACAATTGCCAGGACGAGGAACAAGCGAGGGTCCTTCAACAGCTGGGGATGACGATAAGACTAGTAGGGGTTTTCTATGATTTTATGAGTTTAATCTTGATATTTAAAGAGAGTGGTTAGAAGCAATTTATGCCAATTTGACGTGTACCTCAAAAAAGATTGGAAGAACATTTAAAGCAAAAAGGGATTACATTTAGAGCTCGGAACTTTTCTGTCTGTCGGTATTATTAGTCAATAGGAGAGACCGCTCTCTTCAGGGCGCATCTCTCTAATGAGAAAGACACATAAAGACTGACCAATGGGTAGCTGATTGTGAGGTGAGAGAAACGACTCGTTATCATTTTTTACGTTATCATTTTTACGGACATTTTTCTTCGTCTTCTACGTATAAGAGAGGGGCAACAACATAGGCACTATGAAGAGAGGGACATACATATGTATAATACCGATATACATAAAACTTCCGAGCTCTAATTACATTTTACTAAAATTTTATTTTATTTACTAACAATTGGACAGTTAAAAATTTGTAAAACATTTTTCCGCCAAATTGTGATTCTTGGGGTTGTGATATTTTGAACTTTTTAAAAAATATTTTGGAATTTTTTTGATTTTTAAACCAGTATAAATGAAAACTATATATTCTATGGACTCTATTTTATAAGCGGTAGTTGAACTAATATTGGCTCTTGTCCAATTCATGCGTCCTATAAAAATTTATGCGTCCCAAAAATAATTCATGCGTCCCATAAAAATTTATGCGTCCCATCAAAATTTATGCATTTATGCGTCCCGTAAAAATTTATGCGTCCCAAAAATAATTTATGCGTCTATGCGTCCCAAAAATAATTTATGCGTCCTATAAAAATTTATGCGTCCCATAAAAATTTATGCATCCCATGAATTGAAAAAAACCCATTATCCGATCTCGGTCTCGGTTCGACTGGTCCTCGGTCTCGGAGCCTAGGTCTGATCCTCGTCAAGAATTTTGCCGAGGAGCGAGGCTAATTATACACCCCCAAGAATGAACTTTTTGTCTGATCCATATTGGAATATGATGTAAATTCGAACTTAGAACTAAATTCGAACTTAGAACCTCGAACTTAGAACTCGGACCTCGCCTCAAATTTGACCCTCGAACGCGAACCTCGCTTTTTCAGTTTCGGTGATCCTCGGTCTCGGCAAGATTGTGTAGTCTGACTTGAGATCTATCAAAGAACAAACGGTGTAAGAAACTTTTGTGTCAGACAATAACTAATCACTTAATAGACTTCTGGTTGATACTCGGAATATTAAATTAAACCCCCTAGAAGTGGCATAATGGTCACCCTGATCCATGTTATAAATTCAGGTAGTAAGTCAGGTTTTTATAAACATCTCTTTATAGGCAACTCTTGGAGGAGAGGTTATTTGTAATATTTGGAGTTTTGCAAGACACTTTTGCAAGATTTATTTTAAATTATTTTTTTCAAAATTATTCAATATTTTGAATTTTTATTTTTTTCACTAGGCATTGCTCTTGATCTAAATCACAAGCAATAATGATACGTATACATAGAATCGCGCAACTGCGACAAAAAAAGAGGAGAGAAATGTAAAAAAGAAATATTAAAGCGAGAGCTATGTCGCTCTTTTTTTCAATGCTATTTTCTTATCGCAAGACGCAGAGCGACGACACTCCTTAATCCCTCCCCAATAGCTAAGCTGTCATTTCTTTATGCCCTTCTCATAGCTCCTCCATTTTTATTAAATCGTTTAATAATTTTTTTTAATTTTATTTAATATTTTATTTTATAATTTAAAATTTTTAAAAACCTAGGTAGTCTAAGTGTTTCTAAAATTGCCATAGGTAGTGAGTTACATAGTTATTCCCCCTCCCATAATTTAATCTCGAACTTCTGTTTATTAATTTCAAAATTTAGAAATGTGGTTATTTTTACTACTATTCTCTTTTACCTCCTTTTACAATAATGTGACACCTTTGTCCGTTCTTGTAAAGATTTCTTGGCGAGATGAAGTCGAAAATGTTGGGGATTATTATCCCCGTCTGTCCAATAGACAGACAAGACGGTTCAATTTAAATTTGTCCAGCAACACTTCGGGAATTACGTTGGATGCTCAAACAGATGCCTATGACACATATCACTTTAGGCAAGCTGAAAATGATGAAGGTTCAGGCCACAACTACCAAATTTACATCTCAATCAACGGGTCTAGTGTGCGTTATTATTCATTATTTATTTATCTTTTTTAATCTTTATTTGGGAAACGGAATGCTAACAACTATTTCGAAACAAGTAAAGCAGCTGGGCTATAGCTATGTCTCTCCTTTAGCTAGTGCAAAAGATTATTCGACGGCTGGGAGTGAGCCAGCATCTTCAGTAGACTGGGCTGATGTGTTATCCATTACTTTGTGTTATCCATTTTTTAGCTCTACAATCATACTTCTGGATTTAAATCGGAATTCCGTGTTCGATTCTTGGAGTGAGGGGTCTTTAAAGTAGGTGGGAGTGTGTCTGTCATTGAAGGTGAATAGAGAGAATATTTAACGTTGGTGGGGATTACGTGTCATTGATTGGGAGGAAGCGAGCGTGTGTCAGTGGGGAGATGAGTGTCATTGAAGGTGGAGAGAGAGCGTGTTTAGTGCGGAGAGGAGTGTCATTGAAGATGGAGAGAGAGCGTGTTTAGTGCGGAGAGGAGTGTCATTGAAGGGGAGGAAGAGAGCGTGTGTAGTGGGAAGAGGAGTGTCATTTAAGGTGGGGAGAGAGCGTGTTTAGTGCGGAGAGGAGTGTCATTGAAGGGGAGGAAGAGAGCGTGTGTCAGTGGGGAGATAAGTGTCATGAAGTTAGGTGAGTGCTTGTGTCGGTAAGGATTACGTGTCATTGAAGGGGGGAAGAAAGCGTGTGTCAGTGTGGAGATGAGTGTCATTTAAGGTGGGAAGAGAGAGTGTCGGTGGAGATAATGAGTCTCTACTTTTAGAGAGGAGAGGTATTCATTGAAGGTGGAGAGAGAGAAAGAGAGAGGTTGTGTCGGTGGAGATAGTGAGTCTCTATTTTAGAGAGGAGGGGTAGTCATTGAAGCTAACTTTATTTTTATTTTTCAGTCAAATCCCTGCTTCATAAATAAAATTGATGCTAATTCAATAGTTTATGTCTTTGTTCGAAAGGATATTTTTACAAAATTTGTAAAAGTTACAAAGCAACAAGACCCAACTAATTTTGATGCGTCTATAGAATTATTTAAACGCCCTGTTCGTGTTATGCAATTTTATTGGAAAGATCCAAAGCCTTCGGATAAAAAGAAAAATGTGATGATTCGTT